GGGGTTCAGGTGCTGTGCCTTGGCAGTCAGGGCTGGCCCCAGTGCACAACTAAGGGATGCTGTCCCATTGTTTTATCCAGCTGTCAAAAAGTTGCCACATCCCACCCCAGAGGTGGCCGTGTCTCAACACCAGGTGAGGGGTACTTGTATAACCAGCTCTTGGAAATGTGATGTCCAGGAGGCTCAAGGAGACAGCTGATGTCCCCGGGGGTTGGGGGAGGTTGCGCTTTACGGGTGTCCTGATGAAAACAGGACAGAAAGGGCCAGGACTATTAGGCAGCTGCAGTTGCAGATGCTGGCCACTGGATGGCGGCCTAACCCCGGAGGATTGATGGTAATTTGCACCCTGAGAAATACTTTCTATTATTTATAACAGTTTGGGGAGGGTTGGTGGGAATTCCATGTTCTTTCATTTTATCCTGCCCCGGTCAGAACCTGCCCCTGGAGGCGGGTCTAGGAGGTGTTGGGACCTGCCCCCGAAGGGGTGGGGCATGTAGGGGGGGAGCTTTTCATTTTATGTTGGTTTAATCACCAGACTCTCATGATCCGCAGCATAGGGCAGGAGTCGCAAGCTGGAGGATTCTCTGCGACTTGAAGTCTTTAAATCACGATCTGGAGACTTCAACAGCTGAGATAAGGGAAATTGGGTGGGTCAGCTTTTGTGGCCTGCATCATGCGGGAGGTCAGACTAGATGACCATAATGGTCCCTTCTGACCTTAAAGTCTATGAGTCTATAATGCTGAGCATTCACCCCCTCCCATAGAGCTTATCTCTAACCACTAGACCGGACTCCCCTCCCAGAGCCAGGGAGTGAACCCAGGAATCCTGGCTTCCAGCTCCCCCCCCCCACTGCTCTAACCACACCCCCCCACTCCTCAGGTGGCGCAGCTGCTGGAGATCCCGGTGGTGGTGACGGAGCAGTATCCCCAGGGGCTGGGCCCTACGGTGCCTGAGCTGGGGGCCGAGGGGCTGAGGAAGTTCCCCAAGACCTGCTTCAGCATGCTGGTCCCGGAGGTGGAGCAGGAGCTGGGGGCACTGCCCCACCTGCGCTCTGTGCTCCTGTGCGGCATTGAGACCCAGGCCTGCATCATGGTACCCAGGGGGTTGGGAGGGGAGCCAGGAGTCTGGGTCAGTGCCCTTGTGGGGAGCTACCCGCTGGGGATGGGAACCAGGAGTCAGGGTCAGTGCCTGGTGGAGGGTATAAGGCTGGCTGGGCCATGGCTGTGATGGGGGAGGGAAGGTGAGGGTCCGGGCTCGCTGGGCCATGGCTGTGATGAGGGAGGGGAGGGGAGGGGGGTTCCGGGCTGGCTGGGCCAGGGCTGTGATGAGGGAGGGGAAGGGAAAGGGGGTCCGGGCTCGCTGGGCCAGGGCACTGACCCATCTCCCTCTCCCCAGAGCACAGCGCTTGACGCTCTGGAGCAGGGGCTGGACGTTCATGTGGTGGCCGACGCGTGCTCCTCCAGAAGGTCAGGCTGGGATGGGGGTGGACGGGAGTCCTGGCTGGGACAGGAACTGGGGGTGCGGGGAGGGGTTCCCAGCATACAGGACTGGGGGAGATTTGGGGAGGGGGCTGAAATGAGGAGCCTGGGTTGGGGGGGTTCCCAGCAGACAAGACTTGGGGGGAGTTGGGGGGGACCTTGGCTGGGAGGGGTTCCCAACAGAGGGGTGGGGGGGCAGTGTGGCTGTGGTGGGGCACTGGAGGGCAGGGGGATCCCTGCCCTCCACCCGTGGCCGCCCTGACGTCTCTCTCCCCCAGCCAAGTGGACCGGCTGGCGGCCCTGTCCCGCCTGCGGCAGAGCGGTGCCTTCGTCACCACCAGCGAGGGGCTGATCCTGCAGCTGGTCAGAGACGCCGCTGACCCCCGCTTCCGACAGGTACCACTCCCGCCAACCTGCCCCCCCAGCCAGTCCCCGCCCTGGGGCCAGATGGGAGCCAGCGCCCCCTAGAGGGGAAAGGCCCCATGCCCCATTCCCTGCCCCCCGAGCCAGCCAGTCCCTGCCCTGGGGCCGGATGGGAGCCGGCAGCCCCAGAGGCCAAGGCAGGGCGTGGGGCCTGTCCGTCGTCTGGCGTCTCATGCTCTGTTCTATCCTTCCAGATCCAGAAGCTCATTAAGGACCCGGCCCCGGACAGCGGCCTCCTCTCCCTGTTCCCAGGACAGAGCCCCGGCTTCAGCTAACCCTGTGGCCCCCAAGCCCCCCCTCCCCCGTTCCCAGCACATGGGGGCAGGGCAGGGCTGGAATAAACCCTTCAATACAGTGATCAGCTGGCACTGCGTGTGTGTGAAGTGCTGCCCCCTGCTGGCGTGTGTGTGCTTTTTGCCTGTCCGTCTCTCTGCTGTTGATTGAGCCTCGAAGCCTCGTGCCCCCCAGCAACCTGCGCTTCCCCAGTCCCACGCGCTTCCATTCCTAGACAATGTGTCCCGCCCCACTGCCCTCACCCCATCAGCCCGCAGTTCCCACCCCTCTGACCCCCCTCCCACGTTCCTCTCTTGGGGGGGCCAGCCGTACTCAGCTCCCCCCAGGGTCCCCCCCCCAACACTCCTATTGCTCTTAGCACCAGCCTCCAACAGGGGCAGGCCTGGAACAAAGACCCAGGCGGTTACCGTGGCGCTGCCGTCTCCATGACAACGGGATTATGTTCCACGCCGGGAACATCGGTTAATTGAGCAAACTGCCACATTTTGCTGATTCCAGCAACAGCCCCTCCCCCTTCTCTGCCCCCCAGCATCCCAGCCTCAGAGAGCAACCCAGGAGCCCCCGCACCCGCACGCAGCCCCTCTGGGGTGGGGCATGGGGGTGGGTATACGGGGAACCCTCGTCCAGGGCCGGGACATGGCCCCTCTGGGGTTGGGGGTGGGGGCTGGGTATACAGGGTCCCCTCGCCTGGCGCCGGGACGCGGCCCCTGGGGTGGGGCATTGGCCTGGTTATACAGGGACCCCTCGCTTGGCACCACATTGCAGCCGCCTCTTTTCACTTCCCTTTGAAAGTGAATTAAACTAAATCAAATTCGGGACATTTTAATTCTGAATATGCATCCGCCCATGGATTTAAAATGGCTCAACTAAGTCATTACAAAAGGTGATAAAGGGTTAATAGTTTGTCTATAAGGGGGGCCCTCAGGACAGTTAATCCAAATTAATTCTGAAAGTGGATGAGTTAAACCGCATTTTATCCCTGTGTGGACAGGTTTAGTTCAGTTTCACTGCATGAAGCTAAAGCGAAATCAGGGCACTTGAATTTGGAATGTGCGCATTCGCGCAGGAGCTTAATAAGGTTTAACAAATCCACTTTGAATTCAGAGATGGAGTTGATCTGGATTAATCTTCCCAAGTGTCCCCATGTAGACAAATCCTGAACCGAATTAAGCGAGGGTTTCTAATGCAGATTAACCAGCCTGCTGTGCATTCCCACCCATGGGGAATCCAGTTCCGTTGCCCTGGTGAGGCTCATCTCTCAGAGGGTTAACAGTGTTGCTGGCATGAAGTGCGTCCCCTGGCCTGTTTATGCCAACGCAGCCTCAGGGGCCGGAGCGGGCGCGGGCGGCACAGGCTGGGCTGTAAAGGTTATCCAGGCCTGGCGGGTGCAGCGGCTTGCAGAGCTACATGGAGGGAAGCCTGGGTCAGTGCTGGCATTGGGGGGGGGCTGCTGGATTGGGGGGGAACCAGATCCTGTCCTGTCCCCCCCAGCACCCTATCTCTCCAGCCTGGGGCTAGGGGGTGCATCCCTCCATCCCATCCATTCCCCACCCCCCCGGATGCTGTCACCTCACCGGGCAAGCCAGCAGTATGTCCCGTTTCCAAACGCCGATACAGCCAGATGCCCAGTGCCATCTGGGAGCATAAGCAAACCCAGGGGCGCCGGTGCCAGGCCCGGGGATGGGTAGAGAGACGAGGACAGGGAGCAGCTGGGGGAGGGGCGGGGAGATGCTGCCTAGCTGGGCTCAGTTATAGAAGGAGTCTGTGCCTCCCGGCTGGGGGTGAACAAGGGCCTGTTGGGGCAGGGAAGGGGCCTGGCATGAGTTGTGGGGGGCTGCAGGGGGTGTAAGGGGCCTGGCTGGAGCTGAGATCCAGACCCCACCTTTCCTGAACCCCTAGTGCCTCCCCCAGCTTGCCCTCCAATCCCTTTCTATCCTCAGCCCCT